CACACACACACACACACACACACACACACACAAACACACACCCCTTTTCATCTTCTGTCTGCCCTCTGTGCTGAGAGGCAGACACTGTTCCCTTGACAACAGTAATTGTTAGGATGGAGCCACTTGGCAGGAACAGACTCCATTTGTTGTGTGTGAGTGTGTGTGTGTGTGTTTGCACGTATTACTCACATTGTGGGGACTCTGGTTACACAATCACGTTGTAGGGACACGCCTACTTTTAGTGTAAAAATCCCCCTAACTTAAATCAATACATTTGAACAAATGTGTTGAATGTTTTTTTTCAATATTATGGTTAGAAATTCTGTTTTAATAAAATAAGTAAAAAAATCCAAGCTCCGTTTTTAGTTTTTATGGGCAAATATCCCCTATTATAGTGCATAGAAGTCTTTACACCTCTCTTGACATTTCTTGGCCACCACGTTTCAAAAGTGGGAAGCAAATAGTGATCTGTGTCATAAAACCTGTGACAAGGTCTTTTAAAAAAGCACAAGACAAATTCACTATTTGACCCAAACACCTGAGATTAAACCACCTCAAAAGAGCTTTATTTACTCTGTTGTTTCCCTACAAATCTATATTGCACATTTCAAAAAACTATTCAAAGAGAGGTATCGGCTCAAACAGAAAGTAATGCTGTACACACAAGATCTGTAGGGTTTTGATAGACAAATATTGTGTTTGTGTAACTGGTTTGCTCACTAGTGTGGACACAGCAAGGATTAGTGCTTGTTCATGCAAATACAGTTCAACAGTGAAAGTGAACTCTGAGCACCACTCCCATTTGCTGTTCTTTACTTCACATCGTATCTTCCCTTCGTTCCACCTCAGGAATAATAATATCTCCTGCCACATTAATGCCACAGGTGTTTCCCATTTCTCTTAATACACACCAGAGGAGATCTGACATGCACCTTCAGCTCAAAATCGACTAGTTAATTGGCAAGTGACACTTCAGTTTGTGTGTCTTTCTTTACGTTAAAGACAACTGTAGAGTATATTCATGTTTAATTTGAACATGACAAAATAAAAGAGCTTAAACTACACGTTAAAGGACAGTTAGCATAATTGCTTTCTTAGCAAGATACGTACATATAGCATTTCACAGATTTTGAAGTGACTGTTTTTGATTTTATTTATATTGATTGTTGTGCTTTTATTTATGTCTTTAATGTGTGCATATGTATAAATGTGTCTGTTGATTGTGTATATATATATATATGTATATATATTTGTATTTTGTACTCCTCTGGATTGTAAACTGTATTTCGATCTCTGTCTGTACACACAAACTGAAAGATTGACAATAAAGTTGACTTTGATAGCAGCTGGTTAGCTTAGCATTTGTTCTTGAAACAGGTGGAAGAACTAGGGTGTTTCTCAATGTCAAGGTCGCTTCCTTGGTAGGACATGTCCCTCCGAGTCAGGTCCTTCAGAAGCGAGGCAAGAATCCTTCCTAGCCTCGGAAAACGAAGAATTATGGAACAGGCTAACAGGTGTGCAGGTGTGCGTCATATGCGAGGCCCCGCCTTAAATGGAGCGCGATTTCCGCCAAAAATTTGGAAATTGGTCCGTGCGCAAAACATTGTGGGGATTTTAAGACCGCGGAGGATACACATATGCAGCCTCGAAATTTCCCGCAACGAAGTACGCCGGCCTCGGTAGAATTCCAAGCATCCTTGACATTGGAACAGTCCTTCGGCGGGACTCGATGACGTAAATATAATAATGGGAATAAGGTAAGAAACAACATAATTTATTGTTATTCATCTATGAACAATGCAGAACAGAGAGAAACTAAATGTTGTTTTCTGGCTTGCAAACCAAAGAATGAATATAAGCTGCAAACAAAAAATACAAAAACCCATTGGAGGTTCATTTTGCAGCTTGAAAAATGTATTTACTTTGTACACTGATTGGTCATTTAACCTACAAGAACATATCATAATTCTTTAGATTATTTATATTTTGTATTAAGAATTTAAATCTAAGAAGGGACTTATGTTGAGGAATAAATATTGTGGGTGAAATTAACAATATTTCCCTCTGAATTGTCGTAAAGTAGTAGTCAAGTAGCATATAATGGAACTATTAAAGTACGAGTATTTCAAAGTTGTACTTAGTCAAAGTACTTGAGTGTGTACTGTTACTTTCAATAACTAATGTAGGGTAGGGTCAACAGTTTTTGCAGCCTTTTAAACCTTGTCTTTGTCCCTAAAATCCTTACTGTTTGAATAAAACATTTTCATCTAGGAGAGGAATCACTTTATGCTCTTCATGACAGGAAAATGTTGAATAAAACATTTGACAACTGCTGCTCTGTCTGCCTCAATGCTGAGCTGTTGAATACTGTCAGTGTGACGTTTTATTTTCTTTGTCGGGTTGACAATACTGTCAGATATCGGGAAAAGAGGGGAGTAAAAACAAACTACGATGGGCGATAATGCCGTCTAAAACGCAGTTTGACAAATGTTTGACAACCCCCATGGCTATATACCGTCAGTGAGACATTTTATATTATTTGGAAGTCTTTGTTATGCCTTTACCTGAACTTTCTACTTCTTACATGTTGAACCCAAATACCTGTACTTTCTACTTCTTACATGTTGAACCCAAATACCTGTACTTTCTACTTCTTACATGTTGAACTCAAATACCTGTACTTTCTACTTCTTACATGTTGAACTCAAATACCTGTACTTTCTACTTCTCTCATTTTCCAAACAGGCTGGTTCCTTTAGTCTGAATGTGTGTTTGGTGGCGTGATCATTATTATTTCCTGTTTGGAAAATGAGAGAAGTAGAAAGTACAGGTATTTGAGTTCAACANCTGACTAAATGCTCGTCTCCTCAGGGCGAGGACATCGTGTTCCTGGCGACGGACATCAACCTGCCGGGCGCGGTGGACTGGGTGATGATGCAGTCGTGCTTCAGCCACCACTTCATGCTGGTCCTGGAGAAGCAGGAGAAGTACGAGGGCCACCAGCAGTTCTTCGCCGTCGTTCTCCTCATCGGAACCCGAAAACAGGCGGAAAACTTCGCCTACCGCCTGGAGCTCAACGGGAACCGGCGGCGGCTCACCTGGGAAGCGACGCCGCGCTCGATTCACGACGGAGTTTCCGCGGCCATTATGAACAGCGACTGCTTGGTTTTCGACACGTCTATCGCTCACCTGTTCGCCGACAACGGGAACCTGGGCATCAACGTCACCATCTCCATGTGCTGAGGTAAAACAGACTGCTGCAGTAGAGACGATTTTTATCGAGAGAGATGGAAGGAGTGAAGGACGTTCGGACGCCGACTCCTCGAAGACAGGGATTCTTTTTTTCCCCGTTCTTCATAAAGAGCTGCAGAAATATACCATTTACGTTTTTTTTTCTTTTCGTGTTCGCAATATTCTCTCCGCAGACTGAGAGTGGGACTAAAACTGGATGTTTCAGAGCTGCAGAAACATATACTGTTTAATGTATGGAGGGAGAAAACTGCCAAAATAACAAATACATAAATAATGTGAAGTTGATAATATGCCGTTAAATGCATTAAAGTCATATTAGATGTGCAGGTAAGCAAGGATTCATTGATGAAAATGATATCAGTTAATATTTCTGTTTACATTTTTTATTTGCAGTTTAATTAGTTCATTTGTTATCTGTTTTATTTGTTTATTTTGGCAGCTTTCGTCCTCCGTATTTGCCCGACCAGATATGTTCATGTTCACACTGTACCATGTCTCTGCTCTGTATGAACTATAAAAGCTAATCCATGGGATCCGGACTTTTTCAACGTGTTTTAAACAATTAATAACGGACGATATTTCCTCATCGGGCGTTTCAAACTCTCCAAAATAAAGTTTGAAATATAATAATTAAATACGGGATCAATTAGAGCGTGAAGAAGAATAATGTGAACACGTTCATCGTCTTCTTCTCAGATGAAAACAGAGACTCTGTTTCAGCCGCCAGCGCCTTAACTTTTCTACCAACCTCTTCCTCCTCATCCTCCTCTTCCTCCTGGATTCAAACACTGATGGACGGACGGTTTCCTCTTTATGGGTACACATATAATGGTCTGTAAACCTTTGTGTAGCAGCGGAGCAGAAACATCTGGAACCTCACAGGGTTTCCTCTGAGTTTAACACGCCATAAAACACGGGTTTAAAGTCAGATTTCTAATTCTGAAAACAACATGAGCTCCACATTCAAAGGAATACAGTTTAGAATCAACATGAACAACAGAGACTGGGTGTAGTGCCACTTGGAGCACATTTAAAGGTCTCTAAACGGGCCAAAGTCTGGATATAAAATACGTCTTATTTGGTCTTATAACATGCTACCTGGTGCACGGGCGTGTAAATGTCGAATTGGAGAAGAGAGGGTCGCTTATATTTAAATGTGAGTATCTTACTGCTGTTCAAAAAGGTCTGCAGGATTTGAAATATTTTAAAATAATAACTTGAGACAAACAAGTGTACTTTGCTGAGAAGAAATATTTAGAAAATGTCTCATTATCATTTGATAAAAAAGCTCAAATATATATTTGGGAAAAGTCTAAATTTACTGAGCAAAAAGTGAATACAAAATGTAGACACACACACACACACACACACACACACACACACACACACACACTGCAGGTACAAACCCACACACACACACACACACACACACACACACACACACACACCTGATGCACGCTCACAAGTCCATCACCACACTGCAGACACACACACACACACACACACACACACACACACACACACACACACACACACACACACACACACACACACACACACACACACACACACACACACACCCAGAACAATTCTACATTTGTTACAAAATCTACTACTTACTACATTTCCTGAAAAACAAGAAATATGTAATATTTTGGTTTAAAAAGTCTGAATAATTTGAGACATAAATATTTTATTTGTAATCGTAGTTATTCAGGTGAGGCGGTCGCTAAGCCTGATACTGTCTTAATTGGAAGGGAAATGTTTACCTAGATAATTGATTTGAATCAATTAACCCAATTATTCTCCCAATAATCCTGAGCTTTTTCTTGAAACTCTGACTTTTTCTTCAAAATCTTAAAATTCTGATTTTTCCCTCAAAATCTCAAAATTCTGATTTTTCCCTCAAAATTCAGAATATGTTTTCCACTTTTCCACTGCATCGTAATTATTCACTCTTAATTAAACGGGCATAATGAACCCAGAGGAAACTCCGCCCCCTCTCTCTCTCTCTGACTATAACCTTTACAACCCGCCGACTTTCTACGAGATGTTTTAAAATATTGTAAATGAAGTTAAAACGAACATTATATTTTATAGAAACGAAGAGACTGCGACGTTTATTGTGTTTTGTTCGATAACGATGTACAGATGTTTTACTTTTTTTTTTTATGTTTCTGATGTTGTTGATTCTGATTCATCAAAACACAAACTAATGTTGACCTTTTATTGGATGATAAAATGTAGTGAAAAAGACTCAATCAATTAAAAGTAATTCAAATATAATCCTTTAGTTACATTTATTTGGGATGTTTACATTAGTTATAAATCTTCTGCCTGATCGAAACAACTCTCAGAAGCTCATTTCAGTCGTGGCAGATGATCATGAATTCAATATAAAGACGAGTTTACTTCTCCTGATGAAACGAGGTCATTAACATTTTATCTGTTCAGTATTTCTGTGATGTTTCATAATAAACGGTTGCAGTTTATTTTTGTGTGAATCTGAGCTTTAATCAATTTTACATCACGGAGCCGGCCGACCAATCAGAGCAGACTGCGCTGTGGTTTCAGGCAGAGGGGGTGTTTCTCAATGTCAAGGAAGGATCCTCCAGAGCCACTATTTCAAGGATACTACGTCATCGAGTCCCGCCGAAGGACGGTTCCAATGTCCAGGATCCTTGGAGTTCTACCGAGGCCGGCGTCCTTCGTTGCGGGAAATTTCGAGGCTGCATATGTGTATCCTCCGCGGTCTTAAAATCCCCACAATGCTTTGCGCACGGACCAATTTCCAAAAATCTTTGGCGGAAATCGTGCTCCATTCAAGGAGGGGCCTCGCATATGACGCACACTTGCACACTTGCTAGCCTGTCCCATTCTTCGTTTTCCGAGGCTAGGAAGGATTCTTGAAACGGGCAGTGTGAGAAAATCAGAATTCTGACTTCATCTAAATATTAAAATTCTTACTTTTTGCATAAAATCTCAGAATTTGGACTTCTTCAACAAATTCAGAATTTTTTCACAAAATGTTGAAATTCTTACTTTTTCTCAAAGTCTCAGAAATCAGTTTTTTTTTCTTAAGATTATGTTTTTTTTCCCTTCAAAATGTAAAAAATCTGAATTTTTGCATAAAATCTCACAATCTCTTCACAAAATCTGTTAAATAAGTTTAGCATTTATGAGAAACAATGATGTTGCTGGATATTAAAGCAGAAATATTTTTTTGCGAAAATGCATTTAGCAACAAGTTAGCACAATTGTGAAACTCGCTGCCTGAACGGAGAATTTTTTTACGTAAAATCCATTTGTATATTTTTTGTACAAATGATTTAAAGGGGACCTATCATAAAAAATGCACTTTTTTATGTCTTTTATACATCAACATGTGTCCCCGGTGTGTCGGGGAACTCACGCAGCGTCAGAAAATAAAACCCTCTCTCTTTTCCTCCGTACCCAAATCTCTAAAAACGGGGAACAACGGAGCTGATCCAGATTTGCGTCCGATATGACGTAATATCTGAAATGTGGACCCACGGCCCTATCAGAAAGTTGCTATCAGAAACAATGCCCGACTGTTTTGGACGTAATATGGTCGGTGTTTACATTAGCATCGCTAACACTCAGAGCTAACCTGTACAGGAGAGCATGTGTGTGAAGAAGCAGGAAATAAAAAGGAACTCACCTTGTGGTATAACCGGCAAGAGAGAAAGCCTTTGAGCTCCATACTGTTTCAGAGATAATCCTTGATAATCCATGATATGGCGTTTCATCACGGCAGTATTTAGTTTAGATCAGTGGTTCTCAACTGGTCAGGCCTCGGGACCCAACATTTCGAACCACTCAAATCTATTCAACAAAAAATTGTGCTGTAATATATATATACGCTTTTCAGCATACATTATTAATTAAAGTGAAGTACAGTGCATATATCCCTTATCTCCCTTCACAGAACTAAAGCACGCTNCGATGTCCTCGCCCTGAGGAGACGAGCATTTAGTCAGTTTGAGTTAAACAGCGTTTACAGACTCACACCCAAAAACACATCCAGGAAACCATTGACTTACAGACCAGGGGACAGGAAGTGAGGAAGCAATGTGTCTGAGCTGCAGCGTGCAGGAGTGAGTGAGTGAGTGAGTGAGTGAGTGAGTGAGTGAGTGAGTGAGTGAGTGAGTGAGTGAGTGAGTGAGTGAGTGAGTGAGTGAGTGAGTGTGTGTGTGTGTGTGTGTGTGTGTGTGTGTGTGTGTGTGTGTGTGTGTGTGTGTGTGTGTGTACCTGCAGTGTAGTTATAGACTTGTGGGCGTGCATCAGGTGAGGCATCACAGCCTCCAGAGCTCCGTGCCACTTGCAGGTGGCTCCAGGACAGGGACAGGTGTACGGTCTGAACTCACACACCTCCTCGTGCTCAGGCTTCTCGCTGTGGTGCAGAGAGAGCAGGCAGCCGGCCGACGAGAACTGGTGGGGGAGAAATATATGAGTTTAATATACTACACAGGTACCATCAGCTGCATGTAGTGTACCCAGGGGTGTGGTGGTGTCGGAACGCACTGGAGCGATCTGTTCATCTGTCTTACTAATCATACAATAAAGTACAAGTACTTCTGGGTCTCTGTGTCCTTCAACCCCTTGGGGGTGTGAGGTCCACCCCCCACTTAAAACATGTTCACATGGATAGGATACTCAATACATTTGCACCCTTTTTATATAGTAACCTATGTCCATAAGTGTCTGTGTTGTTGGTCACGCCCCCGTGCGCTCGTTATAGCACTAGGCCCTGAGTGCACCTGAATGCATGAACTGTATTTATGGTAAGGCCATTAACAGGTGATGCAATAATACTAACGGATTTTTTTTATAAATGCAAAAATTAAGAAAGGGAAAGTGTAATTAAATATTTAATTCCAAACATTATTTAAAATCATTATTTTATAAAAATATATAATAATTATTTGTTTTGCATTTTCCCCAAATTTCATAAAATTGTATTATTAATCTGGGTGAAATAAAGAGAGAAATGCACAAATACATTTATGGCAGTTTTAAAAGCGCCCCTCCTCCGTCCGGCTGAGAAACATCACGATTCATAATTCACTCATTATTAATGTAAATCAGGGCTCGACATTATAAAAGGCCCGCCGGCCCGGAAGCACTATTTGGACACCCCGGGCCAGCATAACGTACTTTCCACTTGCCCGCTCGGGCCACTAAAAATATTGTTTTAAAAAAAATGTTTCCTGTGGTATTGGTATTTTGACTAGGAATTGTGTTAAATTGTTTCGTTTATCAACGCTACAACATAGCGTTTCGTGAGTCGCTTGTCATTGTTGGGTGAAAAGCAAACAGCTGTTTGCTGCGGAGCGCAGCGCGAGCAGGCTCCCGTGAGCGCACTCATTCACTACAGACTATCGCGCCACCTAACCATTCGCCAAAATGTTTTTAATACCAGCGGTAAAAAAACAAAACAATCTTCAAATAAAAGAAGTCACCGGAGGAGTTAAAGGAGAGTGACAGGGAGCATGAGAAGAAGAGGGAGAGAACGTTTCAGCCAGCTTGATCGATGGAGTTGGCTTCTAGTGGTGCAGTGACGCGTCCTAAAACCCTTTTATAATCTATCGATTAGATTTATGATTCGAAAATTATAAAAGTAGGGTAGACATGTGGAGATTATCCGGCTGAACAAAACNCCCCACCTGTGTCTTGTTAGTCTGTGTGTGTATTTAGGTGCAGTCTGTGTTGGCTGGTAGCAGTGTGTGAGATCCTTGTGGTGGCTGGTGACTGTGTTCACGTGGGCAGCAGATTGAGGCTGTGTCATATCATATGTGTATTTAATAAACGCTCACACCGGGTTATATTTTTGGACGTTGTGCCTCTGCCTACTTGCTTGGTCGGGCCGCTCAGTTGTCAGCTTCACATACTTTTTAAATAGTCTTCATTTTCGCGAAATTGATTTATCAACTTTTAATACTTTTTAAGACCCCGTGGAGGAATTATACAGTTTTTGACAGAAATATTGTTTTCTGGCATCACTTTAACATTTTACGGGGGAAATCTGCATTTTGGTTTGAGGGCACAGCGCTCCTGCTACCTAGTGCAGACAAAAGCCTACATTTCATGTATGGATCGACCAAAGGCACACATTGATGTTCAAAGTCCTGAAAGATATCTAAATAGCTTCTTTGCCGTCTTGTTTCCATAAGATGGCTGATATAAGATAAAGTAATTTACCCGGCACAGACAAAACCCTGCTCATAAAACTAATTCAAAGCTAGATAGTGGTTTGACTGTTGTCTCAATTCCCACAGTCAGTTCAATGCATGTCGTACATTTTGAATACTGAAGCAGAGCGTGGATTTTGACCGTGTAGCGTTGAGTCAAATCCAACATGGCTGCCGTGCCCTCACAGGAAGTGACTATAACACCTGTTAGCTAGAGAGCCAGCAAGCAATGTTACGCAGCAGCCAATCACAACAAACTGCTCAATAATGTGATCAAATCAACCAGTGCATGCACACGTATTGAATATTGAATAAACCCATATGTGCAAAACGCTTGTTAGCCAAGAGGGCGGATAAAGAAGGGATCCACATTCAACTTCTAGACCAGGAGTACGCAAACTGAGAAATATATAAAAAGGGAATTCATATCTCATGTTGTGATCACAGTAGCGGAGGTGACCTCAGTGTTTCAGCACAGAGGACTCTTTTGAGAGAGATTCAAACACAGCGCTTCGTGGAGTGAATTCACAAAACGGCCCCAAAAAACTCTTGTTAGCGACATTTTGAAGGTTCGTTTGACGATCAAATCAAAACACTCCTAGAGATTATTGGACTCTTCCCTGAACGCAACAACAAACAGATCCACTGAAGCGAGAGCCTGGTCACCTGCGGACTCACCTGTCTGCCCGTCAGCGGTTTGCTGCGTCCGATTGGTCGGCCGCCCCTGACCTCTGACCCTTGCTGCTGTCCGCTGTTAGCCGTTAGCCCCGCGGTGCTAGCTGCAGCGACGCCATGGTGACGGGGAAAACCGAGCAGACAACGCCACTGACCCAACTCCCGGAGGAGAGGCAGGCACGAGGCCGGGCACAGCATCACACACACTACACACACACACACTACACACACACACACACAGGCCGGGATTACTTACAAACTCTGAGGCCACAAACGTCAGTTAGCACCTGATTAGGCCAAGCTTGACCCCCTCTACCATGCTGCACTGCGTTATATATCAGATGCACCCTATAGGACTCATCATTGCTCACTGTATAGCCTAACTGGATGGTCCTCACTCACTATGCGTAGGATGCAGCATTGGTTTTTATTAATGTATAAAGCCATTTTAGGAAAGCTTCCACTCTACATATGTGCCAGATCTGCTCCAGTTTGTGACTCTCACAACCTCAGACCCAGTGCCTGGATACGAGTCCAGGTTCCTGCTGTGCGGACTGAGGCTGGGAAAAGGAGTCTCTTTCATTATGGTCCTTGGTCTTGGAATGACCTTCAATCACGCCTCAAACTGACGGCACTCGTCTCTATAGCCTGTTTTAAATTGAAGTTGTCTGAGGTCCTTACCTCCAGCTGCTCTTGCAGTAATAAGTAGTGAACTTTCTTACTGTCCTAATGTGCACAATGTAGACACTGCTTTTCCTCTTTTGTTTACGTTGTTGTGTTCTCTGTATTTGACATGTCTGTGTTATGTGTAAGAACGAGTAACGTTGCTGCCTTCTTGGCCAGGTCAGCATTGTAAATTAAATTTTGTCTCAATGTTTTCATCTGGTTAAATAAAGGTTAAATAAAAAGATTAGCTGTGGTTGCGTATCAGACTACAGACACCTAGTCGACGGCGTGTTTTGATGATGTCACAGTAATTGGTTAATGGCATGCCAGGGAAGATACAAATAGTCTTAACGCAGTGATCTCACAATCTACCCGTCAACGAACCCCATTATTTCCGTGATCATACGACATCGTTAGCAAGAGGTTAGCGTGTAAACTAGATAAATTAAGTTTATTTATTCTCACATTTTAATGCCTTTTTTAATGTTTTTTTTTAAGTGGATCATAATAAATGTGTCATTGCCAAAACTACGCTCTAGTTACTGCGCATAGGACGCTGAAGCCTTTGCATCATGACTCTAAATCTGTGTTGAATCTGCAGGAGAGCTAGCCGACGTTAGCGGCTAGCTGTTAGCTGACGTTAGCAGCTAGCTGTTAGCTGACGTTAGCAGCTAGCTGTTAGCTGACGTTAGCAGCTAGCTGTTAGCCGACGTTAGCAGCTAGCTGTTAGCTGACGTTAGCAGCTAGCTGTTAGCCGTTAGCATGCGGTTGAGCCAGGTTACATTGTGGTGCATTTTTCAGTAAAAACTATATTAGGCAAAGGTAAATTATAAGGTTATCGTGATGTGTTCATATGTAATGTTTTTAGCAGAAAAACATCTGGATTTAATCGCAAATTAAGACCCATTTATCTTCCCGGGAGAAACCGGTATGCTAACGGTGATGAAAAGGAGTGTTTTTAGTGGATGGGATTTATTGTTTTAGTTGAAATGGTTTAAACTGGTAAAGAAAGGGGTTTAATTCCACTGGTACTGGTGTGGACTATAGCTGCGTTTCTCACCAGAGCTGGTTTGTGTCCTTAATCCAGGGTCAGATTTCTAGGGTTTCTTTATGTTTTGGTCCCTCTCTGCTCTCCGTAGGAACAGATCAGGCAGCAGCTGTTTGAGCAGACTGCAGGGACACGTGGAGATCAGATATCAGAGATTAAAACATCACGTCACATGTGGAAATAAATCCTTTTTACACCGACGAGGATGAGAAGAAAAACCATACGGCCTTTTTTATTAAATAGTCAATTAAAATAGCAGCTCTGGTTAAATCTGAGGCAGAAATGATGTCCAATTAACTCTGAATATGCTATTAGGTATGAATTAAGGCTGGGTAATATCACAATATATCTGGTTTATTGGCAAGTATAAGGTTTCCAAAACATAACAATATCTCGTCTTAAATCAGGGTAATGATAAAGAATTTGAACATTTAATTAATAATTAAAGTATTTTTACAAACTAAACACCAGCTGCTCTGCTCATCATACATACCTCAGACAGGACACAACATGCTGTGTGTTTGGAGACAAAGGACCTTTCTCATTATCTCTAAACAATACCAAAGATACCTGCTGACTCCATTTCAGAGGAGACACTGACTACAGTTTTACAACTAAATAACTTAAAGAGTTACATTTCAATCTGACATGAATAACAAACTGCAGCTTTTTGGTTCATCAAACATCAGAAAAGAGAATCTTAAAGGATGCGTTTGAATGTTTAAATATATATTCACGTTAATATGATATAAAACAGAAACACACTTTACATTTCTGCAGGAAAGAAATATTAGAAAATTAAATTAAATATCACAATCAAAACAGTCTGTTGTTTAGGTGACGATCGAGTCAGCTATTACAAGAAACTCATCAATAATCAAGTGTTTAAGGTGCTAAAAATATCAACAACAACAACAACAACCAATACATAATCAATCAGCGCACACACACACACACGTACCGGCAGTAATGCAGCTCCGCTCTCTCTCTCCTGCTGCAGCAGAAGAAGAAAGAGAGGGGGAAAAAAACAGTTTTCTTCTTCTGTGGTCACGAGACCAGGCCACACACACACACACACACACACACACACACACACACACACACACACACACACACACACACACACACACACACACTCCGACCTAGCAACACACACACTCTGCTGTCAGTGAACGTCTCTTGGAAAAACACAAACACACACAGAGTGGGGGCGGGGAGAAAGAAAGCAGAGAGAGAATAAAGGGGGAGTATCGCTCCTCCCAGCATCTGTCCACATACACACACACACTGTAGTCTCTCCTCTGCAGTGTTTACATCACGTGTGTGTGTGTGTGTGTGCGTGCGTGCGTGCGTGTCTTTATTCACTCATGACCTTCACTTTCTTTCTGACGCTGTGTTCACACCGAACGCAGAGAAGATGTTTTAATAATATATAAAGGATGTGATCTTTGAAGCAGATGTACCTCCTTTGGACTCCTTTGTTTACATCCAGAACAGTGACATCACTTTACACTCACGCTCCTATTGGCTAGCGCTCAGACACATTGTACGTGATAGGCTAAGGGGCGGGACATCTGTAAGCGGTTGAGCAATCACAACAGAGCCGGCCAGCTAACCAATCAGAGCAGACTGGGCTCTGGTTTCAGACAGAGGGTGAAAAGAGGTGCTGCAGCACAGAGAACAATAAAGAGCGTTTGAACATTTGAAGAAAGTCAGAAGAGCGCCCCCTCCTGGTGAAACACAGTTACTGCAGTGAATACTTTGAATACAGTCTCACTCACACATACAGTCTTACAAAACACACACACACACACACATACAGTCTTACAAAACACACACACACACACACACACACACACACACACACACACACACACACACACACACACACACACACACACACACACACACACACACACACACACACACACACACACACACTAACCTTCAGTGAAGTACGAGGTATTAAACTTTGAACACTTGCACATAAAAAAGGAAAATCCTTGAATGCCACAAGGTAACCGAACAACATGTGTAATATTATCACCTATCATGCTACGTGTAGGCCAAAGCATAGGTCTCAGAGATATAACAATATATAAAAACCTGTCTCTGAAGTGTTTTGCTCCAAACACTAAACCGATCACCCATTAGCCATGCCTCATATCCCTCTATTTCACTTCCTGTTTCTAAAGTGATGATTTGGGGAATAAAGCTTTTAAAAAATAAATAAGAGGGGGCGGAGCTTATGCGGGACCCGGCAGCTACTGTCTAAACTAAATGCTGCCGTGATGAAACGCCATATCATGGATTATCAAGGATTCTCTCTGAAACAGTATGGAGCTCAAAGGCTTTCTCTCTTGCCGGTTATACCACAAGGTGAGTTCCTTTTTACTTCCTGCTTCTTCACACACGTTGTTTACGTCACGTTGTTGATACGTCCGGAGACATCTTGTATACGGGCGTCATGTTGTTGTTGATATATCTTATAAACCAGATCAGAGACACAGTGCTCATACTTCATCTTTCTACAAACACCCCTGGTTACTTTATTACCAGATTCAAAGAGGTGCTTTTGCTTCAGGGTCACAGAGCAGTCATTAAATCAACCAATCAAGGGTCAAATGTTAGTCAACTTGTGCAAGAAGATGATATTTATAACGTCATGTTAGGGCTGCTCAATTAATCGTATTTTAATCGCGATTACGATTATGGCTTGCAACGATTACAAAAATAACGTAATCGAAATAAAACGATTATTTTTTTATTATTATTACTTCTTTTTTTTAATAATTTTTTCGTTGGGTTTTTCAGTTGAATTGTTCTTAAAGTAAAGGATAATCAACTGTTAAAAACATGCTGTTGACATTTTTTCTCCAATAAATGGATGTTTTCAAAGACAATGAATAATCGCATTTAATAATCGCAATTACAATTATTGACCCAAATAATCGAGATTATGATTTTTGCCATAATCGAGCAGCCCTACGTCACGTGTGTGAATATGAAGGGATTAAATGAAATACATGAAATCACTTTGTGTTAATGCGTGTTTATGATTTATTTGTGTGTTTTCTGAGTGTGTTCTCGGCTCTCTTTGCTCTCGCTGCTCGTCTTTCAGTCGGCCTCAGGCGCTCACTTCAACTTTAATGTGTAACGCAATCAGAGGCGTGACCCGGACTCCTGCACCACATCATCACACATACTCTGCATTATCAGGGTCCTTTCATCCCTTCTTTAACACGCTTTCTTATGGGATGCATTTATCAATATGCTAATGAGCTTCACCCAAGATAACGTTTGAGGGCAGAGGCCTCAGTACTACGAAGCCGGTTCAACAGACCCTGGATATGTCTGAGTTACCCGGCTTACCTAATCCAAAACACACGCGCTCTCGCTAAGCGGTCCTACAACGCTGGTTATCAACTCGGTAACTCAAGCTCGGTTTCTCTGTCCGGCTGAGTGCGCGTTCACATGAAAGGGGCGGGGCTAGCAACATTTGACCAATCACAAACATGGAGAAGCGTACTGACAGCGCAGCGTCATACTTCCTGAATGAAAAGTCAACTATAATATTAGACATATGAAGAAGTTAAACTTTAAACATCCATGACTTAAACACTTTATCCAGGATCAAAGCCACATAGCTGCACCTGCAAGGTGAATACAGCTGGTAACAGAACAAGTGTTTGAATGCGTACATTAACAGGTTTATGATATCACTGCCCCGTCTAAGACACCATCTGACTTTCATTACATTTGACTCGAGTGTTTCCTCAACTTAATGTGTTGCTTAAAATAATACTTCTGCATACAGTATGTGACACTGTGAGTGTTGCACGGCCAGATACGGCTCAGCTGACTCAGATAAGGAGATATATGATACATTATGATGTGATATGCCGCGGACTGTACTGTTACTCTGATCCGGTTACTTATGTTGTGGCAGATATTTAAGTAAGCTTTCTTAACTCTAATGTTATAATAGTCAGATTGCTCTGAAGATGGGAGGTGATATTCTATTAATGTTCACGTTCACACAGTCGGTGATTTTTGCCGGCCGTCTTTCCTGCAACGGCAGCTTTTCTGTATTTCCTTTCTCCTGTAATATGACTTGATCGCTTTAAACTCCGCACACGGAGCTCTGATTGGTCAGCAGGCAGTGCTTTCACTGAGTTGAGCTCTTAGCCTGCAACCTAACCTGCTCCGGACCAGGTTAGCCGTTCAGCATCAGTTACCATGGAGATCTACCCCGCTAAAAAGAGAACCAGCTTCATAGGACCGGAAACCCAGAGTTACCCCTGAAGTTAGCCCGCTAAGCGAAAATCTGGCTTCGTAGTACAGGCCTCTGGTCTATGTACAAGCTGGTGGAGTGAAGTTATATTTAAATATACTGAGATTAAGAAGAAAATATAACTTTTTTTGCGGTAGAAAATGATTTAAAAAAACATGAATTATTTAGCAAAAAACTCACATATGATTTGAGTTAAAGGTTGGAAAATGTCTTAAGAAAATAGCTGTTAACCCTGTGAGAAAACAGGTCATTAAAAACATGAACAATGAAAGATAATGGAGCCTTATGGCGAGCCAACTCTTCAGAGTACTTCTTTAATCTCATGGGGAAAGTCAAAATTCCAGAATAATAATTGTAAACAAATACAAGTACCATGTAAATAAACACACTGGTTTTAAGCATGTCCAAAAATAGAGAAATAATAATAAATTAAATAGTAATAATTCTAAATAAAATCACTGATAACAATGCTAAGAAATATGTATACTAAAATACTCTTAAAAAAAGTTAAAAATACAACTTCAGAAAAACGAAGGTTTTGTTGTGGTTCTGTGTGGAGCCCCGTGACGTCACAGAACGCACACGACGCGCCTGTGTGTCACATGATGAGGAAGTCGTATGTGTCTGAGTGTGTGTGTAAGAAATAATAATACATACATTAATAATAAATAATAATTCTTAATAAAAGCAATCATCACAATGTTGAGAAATATTCAAACTAAATCACTCGTGAAAAAAGTAGAAAATACAACTTCAGACAAACTAAGGTTTTGTTTTGGTTCTGTATGGAGCCCCTGACGTCACAGTACGCACACGAACGTACCTGTGTGTCGCAGAATGAGGAAGTTGCTTGTGTGTGAATGTCTTTGTGAGAGTGTGTGTGTCTGTAGGTGTGTGTTTCTCCCTTCTGTTTCCCTCTCACCTTGCAGGGGAAGGGTAGAGTGGACGCCACCTTCTCCATGGCCAGGTTCCGGATGCTGGGGCTGAGCGGGCCGCGGCACGTCGGGCAGCAGCTCAGCTTCTGGCGGCACGCGTTACACACCAAGTGGCCCGCCTGGCACTGAAGGATGGGCGGCAGCACGTAGTCGAAGCACACCGGGCACTCAAACAGGGCCGTGAGCTCCGGGGACTGGAGACCCCCCACGGTGAGGGAGAAAGAAGGAGCCGCGGCGGAGGTCCCCGGTCCAGGAAGAGAGCTAACGCCGGTTGACGCTGCAGCGGAGGCGGCTACCGATATAGCGGCAGACGCGGCAGGACCTCCGGATCCTCCGTGCTTCACCGCGCCTGGTTTCCCCCCGCCTGCCCCCTCTGAGGACGGGCGGCTCATGGCTCCCAGCTACTGCGGTTCTTTTCCTCCAGAAGAGCCACCGTGATGGGATGTTTACTATCGGACTGTGGACTCCCGGAGCTCTGCTGCTGGACCCCGGAGACACATCCTCTTCTTCTGACGGGGGTATGGAGGGTGGAAACCAGCGGAAAAGGCACGTCACTGCCACCTACTGTACTGGAGGGTGGACCGGAATTATCCACCCCCAAAAATAAAATAAAATTCGTTTTTAAAACGTTTGTCTTCAACAATATAATAATATTCCTGGCCAATATTTTATCTTTTTTACATTTGCTATTAATTCTCCTTTTAAAATTTCATATTTGTATTGTATTTTTTATATATTATTTTTTTGTCAGACTGTATGTTAATATTTGTTCATTTATTAAAAAATGTAATACATTTTTCTAAAACTTTTTCCTCAAATGTTTCCCCCTCCTCCTGTACTGGAGCGGGGACCGGAGTTATCAACCCCCAACATATAAAATAAAAATAAATACGTTACTTGTCTGTCACCACTTTTTTAGCTTTTTTAAGACTCTCTAAATAACCCTAACCAATAGGATTAATGTTTGTTATTTTGAGAAATTAAAAAGTTCATGAGCAGGAACAGCTACCCACTATTAAAAAGTGGCGACAGATAACCCACAAGTCGGAGCAGTCTCCACAGCCTCCCCAAGTACAATAAATATTTGTTCTCATTCTCTTTTTGTCTTAAACAATATAAAAGTATCCCTGGCCAATATTCTTTTTTTACATATTTGCTATTATTTCTCCATTTTAGATTCATATTTTTATTGTATTTTTTATATACATTTTTTTCTACAAAGTTGGATTTGAATTTTTTTTTTTAAATACATTTTCTCTCTTTTCTAAAGATTTTCCTCAAATGTTTCCACATTCCTACTGTACTGGAATGATCTACCACCAAATATAAACTAAAATAAAAACAAATAACCTTTTTATCTTAAAGGTCACCTATCATACTATTTTTAGGCAATAGCATAGGTCTCAGATATATAAAAATATATAAAAACATGTCTATGAAGTGTTTTGCTCCAAATACCAAACAGATCACCCATTTTAGCCATGCCTCATATCCCTCTATTTCACTTCCTGTTTCAAAAGTGCTGATTTGGGGTATAAAGCTTTTAAAGAGGAGGGGTCTGAGCTCATGCGGGACCCGGCAGCTAGCCTACTGTCTAAACCAGGGGTCGGCAACCCTTTTGATATGAAGTGCCATTTAAAAAAAAGAATTGTTATCAGTTATTGTTATTGTTTGTGAAGTCCACTGAGATAAATGTAACATTTGTGATATTGGGCTATATAAATAAACATTGATTGATTGATTATCAGCGTGCCAACGATCGAGAATTATCAACGGGGGGGTTGAGGAGCTTGACGCTCGGGGAAGCAGTGTGTGGACCTGTCAGCGCAACTTACATGATGCCGAAATTAACAAACACATTTAAATAATTGGTTTAAACGGCATAATAATAAGGACGATCGTCCGTTCTGTGATTCTCCAGAGCACACATGTTAGGCAGGGCTGCACATAACTGGTGTGCAGCCAAAAAAAGAGCACCGGGTCATTTGAAAAAAGGCGCATTTGCGTACCAACATTGAGAGAGAAGGGAGAAGAGAGAAGAGAGGAGAGAGAAGAGAAGAGAGAGAGAAGAGAGGAGAGAGAGAAGAGAGGAGAGAGAGAGAGAGAGAGAGAGAGAGAGAGAGAGAGAGAGAGAGAGAGAGAGAGAGAGAGAAAGATATTTGCGAGTTGCATATGAACTCAGGGCCGGCCCGTAGCACTGGCGTTATAACTTTTCGCCTAGGGCGACAGATCTGGGGAGGCGCTGCGCTGGCAGCACTGGGAGGGAAAACACATTTTTGACCGTTGGTGCTCATCCTGATTTTCGGCTTGATGTAACAATATTCATAATTAAGTAAATGTAACACCCTTTTCACCCCGGTTACACGTTTCATTTGCCATGTACGATGGGCGCTGTAAGTGATGAAAATGGGGGATGTTGGCTTATCTGGCGCCCGCAGCTCACAGCCAAAATGCGAGTGAGCGAGGGAGAGAGGGAGTATGCACCGGTACCGGCTCTGTTGTTATTAGAATCTGGTGCT